AGCACTATTTGGTTCCAAGGAATTGAGATCAACTTGTTCATTGTCTAAACCTGTTCATCACAACCAAAAGACCATATAATAACGGTACTCAAAGTTGTGTATGCTTTGCCGTGCATAGTTTTTTTGTGTTTTTTTGCAACTACAAACAACTTGGAAAAAGTATGTTTCTTGATTGAAGCTCAAAGATATGTACTTAAAAGCCAAAAACATAGTTTTCCCTGGTTGTGTGAAGTTGTGCCAAAAGAAAAGAAAACTATGCACAGCAAAGTATACACAACTTTGATTACCGTTAATGAGCAGCACGTGTCATTGTGATGTTTCTATTGAACAAATCCCAATGAATTGTGCTAATCCTCCCTTGATCTTCATCCCAGAATCCAATCATAAGTGCAGGTCAATCGTGAACTTGTTGAAATGTGCAATTGACAAAAAGAGCATTACAGGAAATGTTAGAGGAGATTGTAGATTAGAATAAAGATGGTAAATTACATAGAATAGAACCAAAAAGAGTTGTGAAATGGGAGAAAAACTTAGATTAGAATCACCCCATCAAGAAGAATTGACCAAGAGAAAAGATATGCTTATACAATCCAATCACTTGAATTTACTTCTCTTTCCCATATTTGGAAAGAGAAGTAAGTGAATTTTTGATATTTTACTAAAAGAGCTGATTATCAACTTGTTGTTTTCCCTTTGATTGATGTCTTTGTTATTGTATGGTTTTTAGCTTGCTCTTTATCAGTCCCCAAAGATCATTGTCAAGATTAGATAACTAACCAATTACTGTTTCTGAACCCATAAGGTACATTTATTATATCCTTTATGTTACATTATAAGTTGTCTAACTCTCATCTATCTTATTACATTCAGTCAGATATCTTCTTCTATTTAGTTAGGCTGTTGGTTTAAGCCTTACACATATTGTTGTGCTGCTTGTCAGATACCTGGTTGAAGACTCTAAGAGCACCCACTATGGTAAGGGTGATTTATCGTAAAATTTGCGTTGCTGAAGCGCGAAATTTGATCATGCGTTATTTACCAAAGTCGGCAACCGCATGAAATCCACTATGGGATGATCTACGGTCTGCTTTACCAACGATAAATCACTGTGAATCAATCAGATCCACAGTGGTATGATCTTGAAATGAGATATCTCATTTCTCATAACCTTCATCCAAGAATTATCCACCAAATGCCCGCTACAAGTTGAAAAAACAAATCGATTGTCTTTTGAAGTCTTCAAACAACGATGATGAGCAGCAGGACTTGCCTCTCCAATGATCTCCCACCACCACCACCACCCCACACTTGCTTCCGAATCTAAATACTGTCATGCTGTACCTCGAAAACACGCTCATTCCGAGAAATTCCAATGCTCATCAAGAGCTTCAGCGCGATCTCACGATGGACCTCTGGCTGAAGGAAGCAGGTCAATGAGAGTCATTCTTTTGAAACTGCCTCATGTGATACTAATATTACTTTTGTTAAACTGATTTAAAGATATATACATAACATTTTATTGCTCGATGATTATCTGAGATCTGTATCTACTGATTTAAATATATGTATATATGGTTTTTTGCTTGATGATCGTTTCAGATGTGTATCCACATGACTGAGATTATGAAAAACAAACTAAGTCCAATTTAAATATACATTCATACAATTGTTTTGCTTGGTGATGAAGATCTGTTGACTGAGATGATGAGATAGAAACTAAGATTGGACTGTTGATATCTCTTTGCTACTTCCTTTGTTTAGGAGTGTGATGTTTCCAAAATGTGATGTCTTGAGGTCGACTCTTGAGGATGAGTTTTGAAGTTGAGGTTTTGAGGTTTGAACATTGAGGTGTTGAGGTTTGAAGTTTGAACAATGAGTTTTGATGTTTGATGTTTTGAAAAATGCAGTTGGTGACCGATTATCCTACGATAAATCAAGTCGTAGGCTTGCGTAGATCTGAAGACACGAAGTGCAACACTTGATGCAGCCGTCCGGACTGCAGGTCTAAAACAGGTCCATAGTGGACCTGTTGGTATTTTAGCGTTACGGTAACGCTAAATCACGTCGTTAACGCAACCATAGTGGGTGCTCTAAGAGTTTCACGGAACTTCTTCAGGTTTGGTGAGACTCAACTTTGAAAAAATTCTTTCAGATAATCTAGATAGACCTTGTACACAGCATCCAACTAAGAAATAGGGTCAAAGTGAAATACTTGAATGTGTGTGTCCAGCTTGATTGATCAAGTTCACACAAAAGTCATGATCCAAAGGATATATAGTATCTATTGAATCAGAGCTGAAAAGATGTTGCTGTTTTAGATGTGTGATTTCTTGAAATTTGTCAATCACATGAGATTTAGTCTTATTTGAAAGTTGAGATAGGGAATTCATCACCTTTTCAAGTCTAGATTATGGTCAAGAGCAACTTACAACAGATCAAATTTATCCATCATTTGCACAATTTCTTATATAGCTTGCAAAAGTGTTGCAAGGACATAAACATCCAAATCTGAAGTTCGATTTTGAGACGTCCAGACCCTTTCACTCAACGATTCTAACAACTGTCAAGGAAGTGAATTTATGTGATTGAAATCCATGTGATCAATTTTGGAGATATATCTAGAGTGAAAAGAAAGGTGGTCGATGAACATTTATCCTAAGAAAAGGGCTGCTAATTTATTGATTTCAATTGATTACTCAAATTTTGGACACTCCTTTGATGATGGATCAATTACATTTTGAATGATCTGAGATTTTGCGATTCATCTGATAAAGATCATAGTAGCTTAAATTGATGTAAAGTAGGTAATCAGCTTGATAGATTGGAAGAGTTGAATGAAGTGAAGATTTTACTTCCTACCAAGATAAATTTCAAATTGATGTTTAATAAAGTTGATCGCATCTTGCTTTTGATGTTCAGACTCCAATGAAAATCTTAAAATAAAAGCAGTTGAAAATTGTTCAATAACCGATTGTGATTTATGAATGTTTTGAGTTGTCAAAGACTTGATTGGATTGTTGATTTTGAGATATCTTCATAAGTACTTTGTAGATGGAATTCTAATTCTATTGATTCTTGATTGATGATTCAACTGTTCATGTTGGAATCCTGGTTTGTTACTGTTGATTTTGATACAAGGCCACTTGATGCTGACGGCGACTGTGATAACGAGATTGGAGGATGACTGTGTGTAGTTTCGTGTTTGATCTTACTGGTGAAAGCTGCATCAATCTATATCATTTAATCGGACAGTTCAATCAAATCCTTTATCACCAAACTTGATCGATCACTCACTTACTTCATTTATCCAATTTACTTTCTATCTCCTATCATCTCATCTAATTCATTTATTTTCAAGATTTCTGTTAAATTCTTAAGTCACTGTTTTATCCGATCGCTTCCTTGGCCCATTATCATTTTTCCATCGATGAATTTTGAAGATTGAGAGATGCGATCAAAAGATGATATCAAAGGAAGAGTTACAAACAAACCTGGTTTTGAGATTTCAATGTCCAGGTAGATAAAAAGATTGAGAAGAAGGATGATGTTAGCATGGTAGAAGTGTTCAAGAAGATGAATGAAAAGAAAATCAAAGGGGGTCGAGGGACATACTTTATTTGAAGATATCAATCAATATTGGGACAATGGTTTGATCGATTTTGATAATTCATTGATTCCAATCTTGAAAATTCATTTCTCAGGGTTTTGAATGTAAATCAAATTGGTCTGATTGGGATCTTGATCTTGATCTTGATGCTGATGCTGATTCAATTTGATTTGTGAATGGTGAGGTTTGATCTATTACTTTGATTCCAGATGCTGAGTGTACATAAGTGTACATAGTGATGTCTTAAGCTGAGGTTTTGGACATAATCCTTAAGTAAAATGGTGGGCAAAGTAGTTTTGTCAGGTTTTGTTCAAATTGTAAGTTCTCCTTTAATGTTTATGATATGATGATCCTCGTGTAGGCCTGTCTCTTCCATTAGAGACCTCCATCTATCTAACACCATTTCTGTTTTCACCGGTGCAGGCCATAAACCAACGCCGTCTACCTTGAATGTTTCTCTATCTTTCAATGGTAAGATCTTCTTTGTCACCTCTACCATAGAGTTGTCCGATAGATCAGAGTTATCATCACTCTCTATGTAGCAGGGCTACCAATTACGTGCCTACTCCTTACCTTTTAGTCCAGACTAAAATCACTTAATACTTTAACTTAAGATCACCTCATCAAGACTGGTTTCATCTTCGGTATTATAGCACAAGCCACGGATTGTACTTGCCATCGTGGGCGTTGTGATGTTATCGGTTTCCTTTATTTTATCTCTGACTAGACTCCAGGGCTCGCCCTTTCTCAACTGTAATCGCCCTGTTCAATTATCAGCCTTCTTACTTCATTCTCGTATATAACCATGTATTCTTCGGAAGACTTCTTGTTTCCTCAGAACTTATCTTTTTATAATCTCATCTTCAATCTTGATTCACTACTCTTAGCTTACTCTTAATTCATTACTATTAATAATCTCAATTATCCTTCGACGACAATTGTCTTCTCTTTCTAATTACTCTTTTAGCTCTTACAGCTTCTTTAACCTTCTCTATCTTATACCGTAATTCAAACCGCATCTGTCCTTTCGGACTCCTTGTCTTCTCATCTAATCCTCAGACCCTAATCGTCTCTAAGACTTATCTTCGTAAGCCATTAAATCTTAAGACTTAACAGTACCCTAAGACGGGCCCTGTCACATTGGTAGCGAGAGCTTAATAAATCCTTCGATTTCTGATCCATACCTTGATCGTTTCATTCCTTCGTTTAAAAAACAGTTTGAAGGCTAAATCTTTATCAAACTTCGAATTAAGTTCTCTTCCATAATAAATACTAGTCAAACGACCAAGGTTAGTGGATAAGTCCAGTCAGATCTCGTTTTCTAATCAGAAGATAATCAGTTTAAACTAATAAAACTGAGAAATTTTTTTACTTAATCACTCTAATCATTCAGATGTCTTCCTCTGATCAAAGCGCGTCTACGTCCGGCTCTCAGAACAACGAGTCGATTCAGTTCACTGCGGATCAGCTCGCGTGCCTTCATGCTCACATGCCAGAGCTCGGAGAAGACGAAATTTTCTATGCTCCCGAGGTTACCGATAAGTTCACCGACCTCCAGACCCTCATTCAAATCCACCTCGGACGTCACACTCGAAACCAATTGTTCCAACTTCACCATGACATCGCTCTTTTGTTGAAATGCGACCCCTACGGAATGCCAATCGACGAAGACGTTATGGAGTCCCGGAACGCCACTCCAACGAAGTCGGTAAACAAGATCCTTTACGCCAGTTTCATCCCGCCCGCTGAGGAATTGTCACCTACTAGGCAGTCCTCGAGACTTTCCTCGGCAACGACAATCACCACCAGCCGCGGGCTAGTCGGACCGAGTTCACCGAGGCTAAGGCTGACACTGATTCCGACACTTCTCGCCAGAAGTCTTCTGATGGCGTCAATAACCTTCAGGCAGGCGCTCATCAGGAATCGTTGGCTCCAGTCGACAAGGGAAAGCAGCCACGACTTTCTCCCTCTTCGGTTATCGAGGATGGCTCACCTCGCCGTCATCTCTCCCCCTCTCCTCTCATTGGACAACGATCTCCGCGACCATCGACCGTCTCGGTCAGTGGCGCAGGTCGACAATTGCAATCTATGATGATCGACGAGGATAAGCCGGTTAAAGCTCTCCCCGTCAGGGTTTCGTCCGCCACTTTGCGTTACGCTTCGGTCCTCCCCGTTGCCGCTCCTATCTCTGCCGACATCAACGAAGACTACGACGGCCCAGAGGAGTGTAGTTTGAAGTTCACGACTATCAAAAACGTAGCGGATGCATTGAAAGCTTTGAAAAGGGCCGGCAACATCAAGGCATTTTATGGCGCCATGGATCAGGACGCTTCTTTATGGTTGCATAAGTTTGAGGTCACCCTGGCGCTTAACTTTATAGATCAGTCTATTTTTGTGCCGATGGTCTATCAATACCTTAAAGGTTCGGCCCTCACTGCACTGACGGATGTAGCGAAACGTGGGAAGCAACCTCTCACCATGAATGGTGTTCTCAACTTTCTCAAGGCCCACTTCCCCTCGACGGTCGACATCACGAGCATCGATAATCAGCATCAAGCCTTGAAGCAACGTTCCGGCCAGTCAGTTCTGGATTTCTGGACTGAATACCAGGATTTCATGATCGCAGCGGCTCACGTCGACTATCGTTACAACCCTACCGAGGATTTCGTCAAACGATTACATCATAAGAGTGCGGCTCAGGAGCACGTCAAGGATGAAGTTTTACGTTATAAGAGAGTCGGGGTTGTACTTAAGGTTCACAAGGTTGCCCAGATCGCCATCAGCAAGGATAACGACATGGTCACCGATCAAGGTTTCAGCAATGGAAATCAATCCTCGAACTCAAGATTCCGTTCAAACGACAATCGTTCGAACAATTCGAACCGTCAAAACAACTTCAGACGCCGCGATCAGGTTCAGAACGTCTCAGATTCATCTAACAACCGCGGCAAGAAGCGCAAGTCAGACGAAAATCATCAATCTCGGCAAAGGTCTAGGAAGTTGGTGTCTGACGTTAATGGCAACACCGTTGACGGTCTTAAGTGCTACAACTGCAATCAGTTTGGTCATCGTTTCGGTACTATCGAAGCGAAGCTATGCCCGAATCCCACGTCGGATCAAACTAAGGAGTATTTTGATGGTAAACGGCAAGCCGGCTCGTCATCAAAAGATCAGGCAAAGAAGTAGCCGCTCTGCCTTCTTCGCCTTGTCTTGTTAGGTCATCATCTGTGTCTGTCGAAGCTACTTCTAATGTGTTAACTGCAATTAATAAAGCTTCCACCGATGTTGACTGTGAGCATTCCATAATGGCTGACGACGAATTCGTCCGTCCAAAATCTAAAAAGGTGGGTCTGAGTTTAAATTTCCCATCAGTACCCGTTGTACAGACCCTTGAAGGTGTACAATCTATCCTCGCCGCCAAAGACCCACGAGGGCGGTTGAGCAGTGATGAGCACGAGGTGCCATCAGGTCCTTCCCCGGACCCAGCCAGCCTAACAGGAAGCGTGAATGACACATTCTTGCCGGCCAGCGAGCCCGTGATTCCGCTCCTTGGAGAAGTCAAACGTGATCAGTTTGATTCCTTGGCTGTGCTTGATAATGACTCGGCGGGTAATCGAGTCGACTTTTTTCTTTCCGTAAGAGGAGTCTCCGTTAAGATATTGATAGATACGGGAGCTTGCTCCTCGTATATCTCCAGTCGTATTGTAACAAAGTTGAAGTACACGACTTACAATAATAAGGCCGCTCCCACGGTGTATGGTGCGTGGGGCGAGCCTCAAGGTTGCAAAAGGCTTGTAGACTTTAAGTTTTCATTGTCTGGTTTGAACTTTTCTCAACCATGTCGTGTTGCCTCATTAGGGAACTACGATGTCATTTTGGGAATGGATTGGATCAACAATCACGCTCTAGTCACAGATTGGAGATCAGGTGAATGGACCCTTATGGGTCCCAATAAGCAGACTGCGCTTTTCGACCCTCGGTCAGTAAAAGCACCTAAGATTAAGAATCATTATCTTCACAACGTCACGGACCTTGCGGAAGAGGACAAGCCTCTGAGTCGAGGTGCTATGAGGCGTCTGTTGAGACGAAAAGATGCTGAGTGTTACCTCTTACATGAGCCACCTAGCATCTCGCAAGACGAATCCATCAGCACAATTTCCACAGATCAGGGGCCCAGGGAAGATGGACCCTCTGATCTGCCGTCCATACAGACCATTGACCCGGATCAAAGAAAAGTCTATTTGAAGATTATCGAGAAGTATCGAAGTCTTTTTGATCCAGTGGAGAAGGCTCCGTCAAAGGAGTGGGTGATTCAACACTTGATCGACACAGGTGAGGCTAATCCAGTTTACCAACCTGTCCGACGACTCTCCCCTTTACTCCTGGACGAGCTGCGAAATCGTTTGGAGACCCTTCAAAAGAACGGCTTCATCAGGCCTTCTACCTCCCCATGGTCTTCCCCCATCCTCTTTGCTCGAAACTCGTCCGGTAAACTTCGATTTTGCGTAGATTATAGGGCCGTTAATTCTATCACGAAACGGGATCGCCATCCTCTCCCACTTGTACAGGACTGCTTCGACCAACTTTACGGCGCCACACGTTTCTCCAAACTCGATCTTCAACAGGGTTTCCATCAGATGAGGATTTCATTGGATCACGTTCCGAAGACCGCTTTCAGTACACGCTATGGACACTACGAGTGGCTGGTAATGCCTTTCGGTTTGGTCAACGCGCCGTCAACTTTTCAACGGATGATGTCAGACATCTTGCGACCGTACCTGGACAAGTTTGTCCAGGTTTATATGGATGACATCTTAATTTATTCCCGCAGTGACGAGGAGCATGCGAAGCATGTCGAAGTTGTTCTCCAAGCTCTGCAGGACGCCGAGCTTAAGGTAAGCGGCCCCAAGTCTCTTCTATGTGCGGAGGAAATCCAATTTGTTGGTCATCTCTTGTCTCATCAGGGTATTAAGCCGATGCCGGATAAGATTGAGGCTATTCAGAATTGGCCGCGACCGCTTGATGTACACGATGTATGTTCTTTCCTGGGGTTAGCCGGGTACTATCGGAGGTTTATCAGAGACTTTTCGAAAATAGCCTCCCCCCTTCACTCCCTCACTAGTGGGAACGTGACTAAGAAAGCCAAAATCGAATGGCTACCTATGCATGAGGTAGCCTTCGAGAAGCTCAAGGCGATGATGCTTTCGGCCCCAATCTTAATAACAGCTGATCCCAACAAGCCTTACATTCTAGAAACGGATGCGAGTGACTTCGCGGTGGGAGCTGTTCTCTTGCAAATTGGAGACGACGGTCTGGAGCATCCCGTCGCGTTCGAGTCCCACAAATTGAACTCGGCTCAGCAGAACTATCCCGCTCAGGAGAAAGAGTTGTATGCCATCATACACGCCTGGCGGAAATGGCGTAATTACTTAGAAGGAGCCGTCGCGGATACTGTAGTGAGAACAGATCACGCGACGCTCACAACCTTGTCTAAGCAAGTCCTCCCTTCCCGACGTATCAGTAGGTGGATCGAGGAGTTTGCAGAGATGACTATAAAAATTGAATACAAGAAGGGTTCTATGAACATCGTCCCAGATGCTCTTAGTCGCCGTCACGACTATCATCTCAATGTAATCGAGGACGTCTCTAAAGGACTACGTGACCCGTCAGACTGGCCGTTGCTCATCCCTTATGTGATATTGAAGCGGCCTATGCCGTCCTGGGTCACGCCGTCAACTTTAGAACAAGTTATGAAAGGATCGTCCTTGTTTCACTTCAATAAGAAGGAAGAAGTGCTTCTGTACCAGGGTAGTGGTTCATCTCAAGAGTCGAGCCCTTTTATCCCTTTCTATCAGAGGGCCGAGTTGATGGAAAAGTTCCACAAAAAATACGGCCACAGAGGACGTGACGGCACCATCAGCCTCCTTAAAGGAAGGGGTTGGTGGCCGGGTAGGTATTCCGACGTGAAACAGTTTTGCAGTTTTTGCCCTACCTGTCAAATCTACGACACTCCAGATAAAGATCAGGAGATCGCTAAGCAAGAACCCCTTCCCCTCGTCGAACCTTTCGAGCGATGGGCAATGGATTTCGTCTCTTTACCGGAAAGTGGCGATGGATTTAAGTGGATACTCACGTTAATCAATCACAGCACAGGCTGGCCAATCGCAGTACCGATGAAAACGGCTTCTTCAACTAACGTCGCTGAAGCGCTTTTGAAAGAAGTTATACAAGTCTATGGTGTCCCTTCGGAAATTCTAACTGATCGAGGTCAGAATTTCTTATCCAAAGAAATGAAGGCATTTTATCAAGGAGCGCACATCCATAAAATTAATACCTCTGGATACCATCCACGAACAAACGGGAAGAATGAGCGTTTCAATGGTATTTTGGAGAAGGCCCTTTTTAAATCCAACACCACTAAGGATCCAGCTAGGTGGCCCGAATTCTTGGCAGAAGCTTTGTTTGCTTGCAGAGTTAATAAAAGTACGGTTACAGGTTACTCCCCTTTCGAGTTACTCTACGGAGTCAGCCCTCGTTTATTGGATGATCCTGCAAAATTAAGGCCTGTTGATCTCCCGGAATCCAGTTCCGATCAGTCGAAACGTTTGGAGAAGTTGAGAGCCAGCAGACAAGCTGCGGCTGAATCTTCCATTCAACGGTCGAATCAAAACAAGAGAAGATTTGACGCTCAGTTCGAAGCAGACGATAACAATAAGAGTATCTCGACTTTAAAATCCTACAAGATAGGCGACATGGTCAAGTTACGGAACGAGTCACATACAAAGGGAGAACCACATTGGTTCGGACCGTTCGAGATCTTTGCTGTTTTGGACAAAAACGTATACAAATTAATAGATCACAGGGAAACTCCATTCCCTCACCCTATCAGTGGGAACAGGTTGAAAACTGTCAACATCAACAAGTCTCAGTTAGGAGAGCCTTGGGCTTTGCCTCCGCGAATACTTCAAGAATTGAAGACGGCGGATCTCAAAGTATCACGACTTGCTGCAAGGCAACTTAAAAGAATTTCGAAAGTTCAGAAATCTGTACTTCCACGTATCAAAATCATTGGCCGCTTTGCTACTGATGCTACGAGCTAGGGATCTCGCCTCATTTGGGAGGGAGGTGGTGTAGCAGGGCTACCAATTACGTGCCTACTCCTTACCTTTTAGTCCAGACTAAAATCACTTAATACTTTAACTTAAGATCACCTCATCAAGACTGGTTTCATCTTCGGTATTATAGCACAAGCCACGGATTGTACTTGCCATCGTGGGCGTTGTGATGTTATCGGTTTCCTTTATTTTATCTCTGACTAGACTCCAGGGCTCGCCCTTTCTCAACTGTAATCGCCCTGTTCAATTAATCAGCCTTCTTTACTTCATTTCTCTTATATAACCATGTATTCTTCGGAAGACTTCTTGTTTCCTCAGAACTTATCTTTTTATAATCTCATCTTCAATCTTGATTAACTACTCTTAGCTTACTCTTAATTCATTACTATTAATAATCTCAATTATCCTTTGACGACAATTGTCTTCTCTTTCTAATTACTCTTTTAGCTCTTACAGCTTTTTTAACCTTCTCTATCTTATACCGTAATTCAAACCGCATCTGTCCTTTCGGACTCCTTGTCTTCTCATCTAATCCTCAGACCCTAATCGTCTCTAAGACTTATCTTTGTAAGCCATTAAATCTTAAGACTTAACAGTACCCTAAGACGGGCCCTGTCACATCTACAGCCTCCATCTTTGGCACTTCTGGTGTCACTTCGACAATTGGCTCTAACTCCTTTGATTTTGATTTCATAGACGTCTCTCCGGTGTTAACACAGGCAGACTCTTTCGAACTAGTGCTCACTAATCGGTCAGTCGAGGGGGCAACAGGGCAGAGGTGTGGCACCACAAGGAAAGGAAGAAAACAGGGTAGCGTAAGAATTCCATTTACAAACATCAACCCAGGCCATGCCACCACTCCTCATCTTCTCAACCTTTCCCTCTCTTTTTACAACAGAAATAATCAAATAGAGAAACAAACAATGTGTTTGAGGAAAAAATCATTTGACGGTCATGACAAGTGGGAACAGACATAAAATTAAATCCAAGCCAAGTCAAAGACAAGCCGTTGTCCAAAGGAAACCGTGGTCACATCAACCGCAAGTGAATGTCATAAAGGTGGTACAGATC